TTTGGGGATGACCTGAGTTCAAGTTCAGATAGTAACACTCAAGTCGAGAGGCTTATAGCTATCTACTATTGCAGAATCTGTATACATATGGAAAACATACTCTTTTGTGCACAAACATAGGTAAAAAAATAGCAAGAAATTTGTTTTCAAAAGTACTTGTGACTTATAAAGCAATTAGAGTTTTAGGTGTACACTGATTTTTTTTTTCTGCTTTATCACAGTTTGTTTTATAATGTTTTCATTTCCTCACTCTGATGCTGGCTTATTGGATATTGTTATGCCCAGGTTGTGGAGACCCCAAGAAGACCACCAGAGACACAGACTCATCAAATGCAAAAGCAAGGTTTAATCATGCAGTACAAACCATGGTAGGGATCTCGTCTAGCACACTGACACAGCAGGGACCAGAGGAGGTGCCCCATCTTTCTTAGGTTTTAAAAAGGCAAAACCCCACAAATCTAAATTGTGGGCATAAGGGGTACAGGTGACTCTCTGATTGCCTCCAGTCCAGGAGACCTCCACTTTTCTGATATCAACCTTGAGCAGCCCAACTACAGTCTAGGGAACTTCCCGCTTTGCTGATATCTACTTTGGGGCCTAGCACAAAATGGAGTTGGTTTTGTCCCTTAAGAAATCATTAATCATAGGAAACAAAATGTTTTCTATGTGATCCTAACACACATCTTTTTCTTTATACAAGAGAATAAGATCCTTTTAGGAAGGCTTCTAGTGAATGCCTCCAATTTTGGTGGAACACCCTCCTCATACACCCATTTTCTGTTATATGAAAATGAAATAATGTAGCGTACATGATGAGTGATGGCCAGTGATTTCTTGTAGTTTGATTTTGATTAGAATGTTGTAGTTCATGTTTAAGGAATCATTATTGTTTTCAGTGGTGCCATCTATGATGTTATTTTTATTATTATTATATTGTTGTTTCTCTGAAAATGATTGACTGTCACCAATTTTGTATTCAGAAAATTTCTTATTAGTTCCTTGAATTTTTGTTAGTTTGGTAAGTTTCTGTGGAGAGACAGTTTTAGTTTTCTCTTCTTGACTTAGAGGCTTGCCTCTTCTTATTTCATGGCAAATCTGTCCTTTTCCAGTTGCTGTTTTTGCTATTTTTTTTTAAAAATATTTATTTATTTATTTATTTATTTATTTATTTATTATGTATACAATATTCTGTCTGTGTGTATGACTGCAGGCCAGAAGAGGGCACCAGACCTCATTACAGATGGTTGTGAGCCACCATGTGGTTGCTGGGAATTGAACTCAGGACCTTTGGAAAAGCGGGCAATGCTCTTAACCTCTGAGCCATCTCTCCAGCCCTGTTTTTGCTATTTAAGTGACTGAATATGATTAATACATTGGCTTTTTATTTTTAAAGTCTACTTGTATACTATTGTCTCTTCTTCCTTACTAGCCTCGGCTTTGCACATGACATGGCCTAAGAGTCATCTGAGGGAACATCAATTGAGGCTGTGCCTCGATCAGAATATCTGTTTGCTATATCTGAAAGAGATTGTGGTGATTATGATGATGCTTGAAGTCTCTTCCACCGAGTTGGCAATATCTCTTAGCAAGTGGGCGAGGGCTGGATAAGAGAGGTAAGTGAGCAAAGACAGTGAAAAGCAAGAGAGAAAGCTAGGAAGCAATGTTTCCTCATGTTTTCCCATCATTCATTAGCTTGAGTTTATATCCTAAGCATTTCTGAAAAGGAGGGACTGTGACGTAGGGGTATCAACCAAATATGCCTCTTCATTTCTTGAGTTGTATTTGGTTATAGAATTTAATCACAGCAATGGAGAAGAAATTTGGAAGAACTGGTATCCTCAAATGTGATTTTTCTTGATTAACAGGACTCAAATTCTTAGGCGTGCTCTTACTATCCTGAATGGATTTTTTTACATATCTTAGATTCCCCATTATTCTAGACAATTTCATCTTGGAATAAAACCCAGGCAGGGCTCAGCCTAGGCAGTTCATCTACCTCTGAGCTGTTCTCTTTCCTAGAAATACTTGTTTGACTCAAACAAATTGGAGGTCCAAGTGTTGCCCACTCCTCTGCCTGTGACAGCCCCACTGGCAGTAAATATATGCTCCATATAATTTGACTTGTTTGATATTTGAAAATAATTTTTCTTTGGTATTATTTCCATAATTAGATTGCTTAATAAATCTTTTGTATTAGTTTTCAATTCATCTATAGGTTTTCTCACAGTAGGGTAATTGTGTTATTAGAGGACTTTACTTCTTAGTTTTTAAGGTGTTTTGTTTCATATATCCTAGCTTTGATTAAAGAGGCAGACTTTTCTTGTGGATAGTGTTGAGACTGCATGTAAGGAAGTGTCTTTCTTTTTGTTACAAAGTCTAAGAAAATCTCTAGCTAAATGACATTTGCCCTGCTTTTAAAATTTTACTTAACAAGTTAATTGATATATTTGAGCTGGTTTTGCTGGGTTGCTTTCCTGGAGGTCGTCTTTTAGACCCAGCTGGTCTCACACTTGGGTAATCTTGCTAACTCCCAAGAGCTGGGATTACAGGTGTATGCCCAGTGATGTCTAAATTAGTGATTGTGTATTGCAGCAAATGTGAAATATGCTAACAAATGTAGCTGACAAGGAGACAGTCATTGGGATGGACATTTCCTGTTCTGCAGTTGGAAGTTAGGGTTTTGGAGTTCAGATTAGATAAATTAAGGATACATTTTTGAGTCCTATGAACGTATGGAGACATGATGTGTGTTTAAGTGAAGCTATTATTTCTTTTCTACAACAGTAACAATGTGCCTGAAAGGTCCCAACTGCTGATGGCCACTAAAGAATAGAAGGCAGTGACAGCTAGAACTTAACAAGTCCACCCATCACTCGGTTCCCTGCTGGGCAATCCCACTTGGCAAAGCTGTGGAGGTATTATTGACTGTGATAGTCTGGTTGTTTCTCTGTTGTAACCCTCTTCAGTGTCACTGGTGTACCTCCCTAATAAGAACAGCTGTGGTGATCTTCCACAGCCCTTTGGTGGTGTGGTTTGCATTTCTGGAACATAGTTATGTCTGTTATTTGTCAGAGGGATGACTTCTCATAGTGTCTCATAGCCAGGCTTTTAGCTAAGGCCTCAACAAATTCATAAGAGAGTAGTTGCCCTGGAGAGAAGTGCTCAAGGAAAAGTTCCCAGGACTTTACCAAGGTCAGGCATGAAATAACTTTAGTGCCAGTTTGTCACTTGCAAAGAGAACCTGGCAGATGACATTGAAGATATAACTCCCTGTCTCAATAACTGACTTTCTGCACTTATTTCTCACTTCTTTTTATGTTATAAAATTCAAGGTTTAACTAACTGTGTATGTGTTGGGTCCAGGGGGATTGTGCAAAGATGAGAACACCACCAAGTATAATAAACCAGAAGCAGACTTTATTCCAGAAACCAGATCCTCGGAAAACCAGAAGCAAACTTAAAGATAAAAAATAAAAATACAAAACCACCGCAGGGCACAGAAGCTTATCAGCTAGCTGAGACCACAGCTAGAGATTGTGTTTTTTAGGCTGTGGCCAACGGCTGGTTTCTGAATCCATCTTTTATAGTTAGGGCACCAATCATTAGGTCTGAACAAAGGAAATTTTATGATCTTACCCTGACCCTTAGGAGGGGAGTGAGTTCTAATGTCAATGGTAACTAGGCAGCTATCATGAAATATGTTTCAGAGTAGATTACAGCAAAAGTCACTAATTGCAAGAAAACAGATGTCTTTAGCAATAGTCAGAAAAGGGACTGCTAGTAATACTAGAAGGTTAATAAATTAGAATTAATTAGTTCTTAGGCTGAGAACTTAGGAGATAGCAGAAAGCTTTTTACAATATCTCAAGGTAAAACTCAGATACTGACTGCCATACTTTACAACCTCCATTATTACAGCTCATTTATTAAACCATTTTATTTGTTCACTGTCTCCTGGTATCTCCAGGTGTATACTGGAGTCCCATGCCTCCCCTTTGGTGGCCCAAGTTGTCCATAATGAAGACAGTGTCTAACCCAGTGGTCACATATCTCTGTCTCCTAAAGGTTATCTCAGTTCACATCTGTCATTTATCAGGGATGGCCAGGACACTACTCTCAATTTGCAGGGAGAAGCTCTGGCCTTGTAAATAAATAGCCGGTTGTAACATGAAATGACCTAAACTGATGGAGGCTTCCCAAGCATCTGAGAAAATAGCTCACTGTGAATGACTGATCCTTGATCTGCTGAGAAAGCTGCTGATAGTCTGTTTTCATTCTCTTAGACTTATAACTTTATATTTCTTTATTTCTACATTCTTACTTTTGGAATCTACATTTTTTTTAAATTTTCTTATTCTTGGACTCTTCAGTATGCAGAGTAGAAAAATGTATCTTAAGGGTTGGGACATCCTCTAGGTCACTGTCCCTTGCCTTGTCTTTTCTGAAAGCCTGCTTTGCAAACTATATAGATCCAGGAAACTAGCTTACACCTAAGCACTGCTATAGTAATGGTTGATGTGACTTTTTCAAGTCTGAGAGAAATACCTAGTGATTTCTTATGTGTTTACAGAGTGGTTCTGTCCCTATTGTTTACTTAAGAAATGTAATGCAACAGCTCTTTTATTGGCTAGAGTTCTTCAGTGAAGAGAACTTTTTTCAAGGTTGAAGTCCAGTTACCACCAGAAAGCATGTGTTGCTTTTTTCCTCTTCAGACAGAGAAGTTTAGTTTTTGCTGCTTTCGTGGATTTTATTTTTTTATTTATTTTTTGCATACCCTGGTTCTGACTTGAGGCTGGCCACACCAGACAAATACAAATTAAGAAACAAAGTTTTTCTGCACTCCCAGAGTTTGTTCTCCTAGGCCACTGAGAACAGGTTGTGCTCCTTGTAGGGACATTCAGTGCCTTCTTTTGTCACACAACTAGACCTTCTTGCTTAGCTAGCTTGGCTTTTAGGATCAGTTTGGTGTTTGTTGTTAATGTAGGGGCCCTAGGTTAAGAATGCGGTGAGAAGAGATTAAGCATAGCCAGAATTCAAGAGTGTACTAATCTCTGATTTATCTGAATAAAACTACGTATGCAATCCTGGTGTTTATTTTATACTATTTTCTTTTTATGCTTATAGTCCAAGTCATTATATAGTTACTCTTGCCCCACTTTTTTTCTTAGCAAACTTTCTATTCAAGCATCATACTTTTTATTTGAGTTTTCCTATGTTTATACTTTTAGGAATATTTCCTAACGTGAGCTCTCTGCTGATGCAAATTCCCAAACAAACCAAACTAAGAAATATCCAGGTTTTTAATGGGTTGTTTCTGTGCTCTCAGGTGGCCCTGAGGGGCTGCGAATGTGACCACAGGGAGGAAGGAAAAGAGACCACGAGTTCCTCTTTTGGGAGTTCATTTATATACTCTGTGGGAGTAGTCCTGACCCCCCCCCCCACCTATGGGAGGGGTCAGGACCTGGCCTGTTGGGATTTGAAGTCCAGACCAATATAACTCTCAGGCCTGGGGGCTGAGATAGATGCGAGGGGCTGGGGCTTACACTCCCAACTTAACATTCCAGACTCTTCGGATATAGGGATGACAGAAAATTGAAATGATAATTATGACAAACATTTATGCTCTCTTTGGAAAAAAAAGGGCATACATTCAAATCTGGCTACTTCCTGCAGACACGGGGCAACATGGGAAGGGGAGAGCTAGGTGTCCATGTTCCAGCAAGAGGTGTGGCTGGAAAGGCATCCCATGTACTGTCATCCCGGAGACATCAGCCATCTTTTCCTTGGGGAAGATGAGAAGGCAGGTGTCTAGGGAAAAATTGTTATCATCAAAGATGAGTGTGCCAGAATGAGGAGCAAGGTAGGCCCTTTATTGTGGCATCTTGGAAGACCGGAGGGAGGAAGGTCCTGTCTGCTGGACAGACCAAGTGTCTTGAGTAGGCACCCGCTTGAGGCTCGAGAGATGGTACCAGCATGGGTGTCTCAAGAGCTTGGCAGGCGAGGGGTTGGTGAGGATTACCATGTGACGTCCTGTCCATCGAGATATGAGAGACCTAGGAGTTAACTGTTTGAGGAGTTAACTCTGTGCCCTGGTGAGAGTGGGACAGGTTTAGGGGTATTAGGGTCCACTGGTGTGGTGGCAGGGAGACAACGTGTGAACAGGGAAGGGAACTTAAAAGGGAGAGGTAGGATAGGTACCCTGCCAGTGGAGGAGTTTGAACTGGGAGGTGATGGTTAAGGAGAAAGGGCCTGCCATAAAGCAGCTAAAAAGGGCTCAGCCCATAGGGGAACGTGGGGTGGCCCTGAGGCAAGTCAGGGAGAAGGGAGGGCCAAGATAATCTGAGTTCAAGGGAGAGCTTGGTTGTTGTTTGATGAGTCCCATTGTCCAGATGTTGAGAGCTTCTGACAGCGAGCTCCATGACCCTGAGCCACCACATCTGCTGTTTCCCTGGAGACCAGAAATGCTTTTATCCATCCTGTAAAAGTGTCCACATGTGTTAAGAGATAACGGAGTTTTTTATGAGTAGGCATATGAGTGAAATCAACCTGCCAATCTTTGCCCAGTTGGTGTCCATGAGGCTGGTGTAGAGACTGACATATGTAGAGAGCCCCTTGTGGGTTGGCCTGGCACACATCTGGTAGAGTGAACCTGTAAAATAGAATCTCAGAGATAGGTGGGGTCAAAAATGGGCTCCAAGAAGTGGAACAAAGCTTTGGGGAAATGGATAATTATTTCTCCACCCAGTAAAAGTGCTGGGAAAGCAGGTATCACTAAGAATGAGCGAAAAACTGTCCTGCAAGAATGCAGGGCAGTGGCAATGTTTTAAGTGGGGAGGAATGGGTCCTGTCTATCCCCATAGCTGACACTGGTGAGGGAAACTTAAGACCCGAGTGAGAATAAAAGTAATGGACTTACCCGCTACCTGCAGCTTTACCTTGGGATTGGATAGGGTTATGCGATAAGCCAAGTCTGGGCAGTATCAATCCTCTGCAAGGCTGAGAAGATTGAAGGCTGGCACAGTTTCACTTGCTGCTGTTGGTGAGGCTGGACCTCCATGGTGTGGCATAGAGGACAAGCCCACATGGGGGCATTGTGATTTTCAGTGTCCACTTGTCCTTATGGCGACAAACATTGTTTTAGGTCCTGGAGGATGTTAAGCTCAAGATTTAGTACATAGGGAAATTAGCCATTTGAGACAGATTGATTTAGCACAGGTTCAATTTAAAAAGATTTTTGTAAGAGTCATTACAGGGGCAAAAGCAAATCTGGTTTTAAAGTCTATGCCCAACCATGTGACCTAAGTCCGCTCCAGCACATCTGCCAAAATGGCTGTTAGATCCAAATGGGGCCATGGAAATTGAATGCTTGGCGTCCCCAAACAAATAAATCTCCACCTCAGCCAAGGTCTGACCACTGTTGGGAATTGAATCCCTGGTGTGGACTGCAGCTTCAACAGGAATCCAAAAAAAAAAAAATGACAAAAATAAGTATGAATGGGTCCCCCAAAACAAGGACATGAAAGGGGACTCACCAAGACACAGCCACTGTAGCCCAGAAGCTGGTTTAAGCGTGGTGTGGAGAACTCAGATTGTAGAATAGGGGGCTTTTAACATGCAGCCTGCCACATGGAAATGGCCTGCCCTAGCTCAGTGGGACCTCCAAGATGTTAGGAATATTTCCTAACATGAGCTCTCTGTGGATGCAAATTTCCAATCAAGCCAAATCAAAACAAGCCAAATTAAGAAATATCCAGGTTTAATGGGAGTTTCTGCGTGCTCTTGGGAGGCCTAGAGTGGCCTCGAACACAACCAGTGGAAGGAAGGAAAAGAGATCATGTGTTCCTCTTTTGGGAGTTCATTTAAATACTCTGTGGGCAGGACCTGGCCTGCTGGGATTTGGAGTCCAGACCTATATAACTCTCAGGCCTGGGGGCTGGGACAGATGCAAGGGGCTGGGGCCTATGCTCTCAATTTAACATATACTTTGCCTATGTGGATTATGTCTGTGTAACACTTGCATTTCTAGTACCTATAGAGGTGAAAAGTGGATGTCAGATTCCGTGCAACTGGAATTAAAGATGTTTGTGAGCTTCTTTGTTGATGCTGGAAATCAAAATCAGGTTTCCTAGAAAAGCAACCAGTGCTCTTAATTGCTGAGCATTCAATCCAGTCCCTTGTTTTTTTCTGCCATCCTAGGAAATCTGTTTGATCTGTCACTGTTTGATGTTATTGTTGTTGTTTGTTTTGTTTAGTTTTTTGAGACGTGCTCTCAGGTAGCTCAGGCTGACCTTGACCTCAGTTGAGACCTTGAACTTCAGATCCCTCTACGTTTCCAACTAACTTCTGAGATTACAAATATGCACCACTACCACCAGCACAGCTACCACATGCGTTCTTGGTAACATGAATGTAGGGCAGACACTCCACCAAATAGGTGAGCTACATCCAAAGCCCCCGGTATAGTTTCTTAATAGTAATCTGTGATTTTCATGTGTGGTTTATATACTACACTATAGGCTTCTAGTAATCAGAGATTGTTAACTGTGCATTGCCCATCCCTAAAAATGCTGACACACTGTGCTCTATAATTTTCCCTCTTGAGAACCCCTACTTATTTAAACCAGTGGTTTATCTTGTTGGGATTTCGTTTCTGAAGTGGCTAAATTAACTGAGAGTCCATTTGAATCATAAAACAATGAGAAAGCCAGTACTACATGAGCACACTTTAGCTCTTGCACATTCTTACAACAAATTGAGTTTTCAAAGTAAACTCTTGGAAAACATAAAAGCTCTCCTCATTCAGCAATGGCTCAGTGTTTAAAAGTCTTGATTTGGCTGATTTATGTTGCAAAACCACTTGGCAGATACATCATTGTCTCTTTAGTCACATCTGCTTTTCACTTGAAACAGAGTTAACCAAGTATCCTTCTATTTCACAATATTTTCATTGAGTTCACTGATTTTAGTAGTTAAACCTGTCCTTCATGATAAAGGGATTAGGTTATATTTTAGTGAATCATAGAGGCTCTGAAATAGTATTTTTAAGCAATAATCAATATTTTAAGAACTGGTGTCAACGTTCTTCCTGTCATGTGTTTATGGCTTTCCATTTCTGTTTTGAATTTTCTGCTAATGCCTACTTCTGAAAAATCAACCCACTGTCACATTGCTAGTATTTTTCTGTGCAATTTTTAAGACTGTTTTCTGGGTTTAAGAATCATTCATTTATAGGTGCTAGGATCATACGTCATGTTGTAGTTGCTTTTCTTCTACCTAGGCACATAACTCACCAAAATCATGATGAGAATTTCAGGGTTATTGACTGTTTTGGTTTGTTAGCCCTGCAGTAGCCACCCTTTCTTAATTTTAGGATTTCATACATATAAATAATGTATCTTGAACATAATCACCTCTTAATTCCTCCACTTCTGTGCCTGTGCCTTTTTTTGTTTCCTCATCTCCACTTCATGGGATGCTGTGTTTGGTTAGTTCTTGGGCAGAGGAAAGGGTTTACTTGACTTAAAGACCCAGTTCACAGTCCTTCATGCAGGCAGATCAGTCAGGAACTGAATTAGAGACCCTGGAGTAATAGTGCTTACTTGCTTTTTCTTCCAGGCTTCTTCAGTTTTCTTACTTTATTCTTTTATTTCCTTTTTAAATTGAATATATATTTTCATATAGTAAATTTTGATTATGATTTCCCTGCTCAGTTCCTCTCAGAACTTCCTTTCTCTTCCAAATCTACACCTCAGTTCTCTGTCTTTCTCCTATTAGAAAAGAAACAGGCATCAAAAGTTTGGTTTGCTTTCTTACACATCGCTGTGCCTCCTTCCCAGGAATAGTGCAGCTCCACAGTGGGTTGGGTGTTCTCTCAAAAGTCTTTAATCAGGAAAACATCCTATAAGTGAAGTTCCTCTTTCCAAATAATGCAAAACTTTGTCATGTTGAGATAAAGCTAACCAGCACAAGACAATGAGTTAAGAGTCTGCCTGGGCTATGTAGTGA